CAGATGAACATGGTACTGCAGATGTTACAGGGTGCTTTCATATATGGTGCTTCATTTGATCCCAGGATAATTCAGTGATGCTGTCATACTTAGCTTATAGATGAAGAAACAAGTAGTTTAGGACTGGGGCGTGGCTCAAGTGGTAGGGTGCTTGCCTAACAAGTGTGAGGTGTTGAGTTCAAATCCCAGTAATGCTAAGAGAGAGAGGGAGGGAGAGAAAGGGACAAGTGGCTTCTAGGTATGTCAAGAGGCTAAAGCATCTAGCCTCCAACTTATCTGTCAGAGTGAGAAAAAGGCCAGCCTCCCAGCTGCTGATACAACTTTTTCTACCATTGCTATTAACTCTAAGGTTAGCACATTAGAAAACCTGGCTTGGATGTGACAAATGTCTATTTGCAGGATTTGGTGACCTCTGTTTAGTTAACATATGGACAAATGGTTGCTTCGGGAGATAACAGTCCAAGTTCCTTTTTTAAAACTCACAAACAGATTTTAAATGTTAAGTTATAGAGCTGTGCTGTCCAGTACACTAGCTACTAACTATGACTATTTCAATTTCAATTTTATTTAATTAAAATTAAGTAGGATGTGGGGCTGGAGGCATGGCTCAAGTGGTAGAATACCTGCCTACCAAGCACCAGGCCCTGAGTTCAAACCCCAGGACAAAAAGAAGTGTTGTAAAAGAAAAAAATTTTTAAAAATGCAAAATCCAGTTCTTTAGTCACACAAGCTACATTTCAAGTGTCTGACAGTCACATCTGGCTAGAGCCTGGGACAATGCAGATTATAAAACATTTCCATCATCAGAGAAAGTTCTACTGAGCAATAATGTTATAGAATGTTATCTGCAGAGAAAGAAGAATTGAGAGAAAGCCAGAAATATGTTAAGGCAGACACAGTGTGGTCATCTGCTAATATTAAAGGTACCTATGGTTAACAAAGATTTGAACAGAGGAATAATCAAGAGATTGCTCTTAGCTGTGGATGAACCCACCCAGAACAAGGGAAAGGTGTTTTTATAGCAATTATGTTGCATTTAGCCTTTAAACTCTTTTTATTTATTTGTTTGTTTGTTTGTTCGTTTTGTTGAACTCAGGGCAGCCTCACACTTGCCAGGCAGGCGATCTTACTGCTTCAGCCACACCACCAGCCCCAAGCCTGAAACTCTAAGAGATTAGAATAAACTGGTACATGCAAGATCCAAACTACTGAAGAGGATCTGAAGCAAATGGAAATAGAAATAGGTTCAAAACCAATTGGTTACAAACTTAGCTTGCTCACAATTCATACAGCAGTTATTTTTCTTTCATTCCATATAGTATGGCATAGTTAAAAGAGAAACTAAAATACTTCTGGAGTTTGTTTTTAGAAAAGTCCATAGCAATATAAAAAGTATAACAATCACTACTGCTGGGTATGCCACTCAGTGGTAGAACACTTGCCCAGTATACGTAAAAATCCAAGCATCCATAGTGGTATGCCAAAAAACAAAAGTAAAACAAAAAACAAAATTCATTTGTCATAAAATTCAACTATAAAGGTAGCTATTTTACCAAATTCTTTCTCCAAAAATTGGCAATGAGAGAGAGAAACAAACAAATAGTCTGTCTTTCTAGAAAGAAGTATATGAGAGCATAACCAAATAGTCCAGCTGTGAGGAAAATATCCAGTTTATAAGAAAATGCCAGCTAATGGAATTAGAGAACTCGAAAATCAAATCATCATTCTAAAACCCCTAAAGAAACAGTCAACCCAAGAAATGATCCTTAGGGATGGGGGCAATGTAAATAATGTACAATATAAATCTAATCAGAATTATCACTATGAATCCCCCTGTTTAATGAATATTTCCTTATTTAAAAAAAAAGCAAGAAAGAAATGGTCATCAGGGTGTGCTTAAACAATTGAATAGAGATTGGGAAGCAGCTGAATATGCACATGTTATAAAGTTGACCTCCACAGGCTACTGGCTGCACCTAAGAGAGAAAATAATGGAGGATGCAAGCAGTAACCACTAGAACTCTGCAATCATTTCAGCATCCCTAACGCTGAGACCACAGGAAGTGTCCTATAATATGCAATATGAATAGACAGCATCACCTGTGAAATAGTCTTCTTTTTTTAAAAAAAAAGAATTAATCCTGAATCTAATTAATCTTTGCAATGGGGCTGAATGCTATGTCTCCCCAAAATTCATATGTTGAAACCCTAACTCCCAAGATGATGCTATTAGGAGTTAAGGCTTTTAGGGGGTGATTAGGTTGTGGGGATGGAGTTCTTATGGTTGGGATTAGTGTCCTTTAAAAGAAACCCCAGAGAGATAGCTAGTCCCTCCCATTATGTGAGGAGTAACAAGAAATCGCTATTGCACGAACCAGGAAATGGGGTCTCCATAGACACCAAAAGAGCCAGTGTCTTGACCTTGGACCTCCCAGCCTCTAGACCTATGTGAAATAAGTTCATGTTGTTTATTAGTGAGTCAGCTCATGGTACTTTGTTACAGAGACCCAAATGGACCAAGACAAGTCTATGGAAATAATTTTCAGTTAACAGAAAGACAGGGAACAGAGTGAAAAAAATAAATGACATCATAAGAAGCAAACTTAAAACTCCAGAAGAGCATTCTACAGGAAAACTGACCTGGCTTTTCCATAAGTCAATTTTGTTATATAGACAGATAGAAAGGCAGATAAATAGAGTGCTTTCTAGGTTAAGAGAGTCTTGGGATATAAAACCAAGTGCAATGTGTGTTCCTTGATTGATAGAAACTAATTTGAACAAGTTAAAAAATATTTAAATACCAAGTTGTTCAGGTACATATTTGAAATATATCTATTTCAAACTTTGTGAAATATTAAAACAGAAGTAATGTAGTGTGTCATTTAGAATTTCATTCTTGTGTTCTCCTCCAGAAATTATATTATCAGAGATCAAACACAACTTTTCATCAAAAATTTTTTGTTAAATTAATTTTTTAATCAAAATCAATTTTTTTCAGAAACAGGGAGTGCACCCCACTGGACAGTTTGCCAGTTCAAGGAGAAGGAATTCTAGTTTTTGCTTTTTTTTCCTTAGCCTGTCCATGAGCATCCAATAGAAAATCAAAAAGGGCAAAGTGCCTGTGATCAAGGCCCATCACTCCTAAGTCTAATTCTACCTTTAAAGTTAAGAAACGTGTTTATCCGAGAAGACCCATTTGGATAAGAGGATGAAGAGTCCTATGGTAAAGTGGGCCAAGAAATAATAAATCATAGTGATAATTCATCTGTGCATATCAACAACTGTACCTTCAAAAACTATCCTGACCCACAAAACATATTGGACAGGCTATGTTTCTCTCACTCCTGAAAAAAAAAAAAAAGAAGCCAGGGAGAGAGTATGAAGGCTGCCCTAACTCTCCCAAGGCTCAGTTCTCTCCAACGCTCCACAGGAATAGCTTGTCAGACAGAGTGAAAGACCACTGTCAACCTCTCTCCAACCCCTGACTTTAACTAACATTCATCAGTCCCAGGTGAAGAACCAGAGATAAATGCAAGTTCAGTGCCTGCTACACCATTGTTAGCTGGAGTCAAAACTCATAATTCCACCACCCACCTTAACACCACTGGCTCTGTTTTCTCCCAATCGCTTTTGGTTATTTAAACAAAAACCAAAACAGCAGCAACAACAAAAACTTTCCCCATTCCTGAAACGCAAAGAAGGGAAAATTGTACAGACAAATATGAAGTATGGTCAGCTCTAAAAATAAAATAAAGAAAACCCAGGAAGTTTAGAAGATAAAAAGGAGAACGTTGGGAAGGAAGGAGAGAATCCAAATAACAGGTAATTGTTTAGTTTCACTTTTAAAGATTTCCATGCATATACATCTGTAGAAGAGATTTCACCCAAGGAAAATTTTATGGATGTGAATCTGGTTGCATTAACAAGGCTGAAATTCCTTTTAAAAATATTTCCCACAGATAATTCAGAGACCCCTGATGTTACATAGCGGCCCCTGACATGCTGGGGGCGGGGAGGGTTGGAAAGAAGGAAATGGTGGGGGAGGAGATATGCCAAATGGTGCCTCTAGCAGAAGGAGGAAAAACCCAAGGTCTGAGAATTCAGATTGCAAAAGGAGACTGCAGAGGTCCCCTGAGAAGAGAGAAGAAATGAGGATAAAAACTGCAAAGAGGAAGAGGCATAAGTTGCTGTCATATGCCAAAGGGAAGACGGGAATCCCTTTAAGAAAACCAGCGCAAATCTCATTTCATACCACTTAGAGCTGCACCTCTTAAGAACTGGGAGCCCCGGCTGGCTGTAGAGCAACAAATTGATCCGCTCCAATATAGCGCCAACCAAAGGAACCATTAAATAACCACTGGGTTAAAGAGCCAAAGATCCTTCAGGGTTGGCTCTGGCCAATTATCTCATGGTTCAACACCGTGTGCTGGGGTATGTGTGTGTGTGTGTGTGTGTGTGTGTGTGTGTGTGTGTGTGTGTGTATGTGCGCGCGCGCAACTCTGTTAAATTTGACGGAGCTAAGATTTGGGATGGAAGGAAAAGATGGTTGCAGAAAGGACTCAAGGTGGGGGAACTTTGTTGAGAAAATGGAAAGAAGTGTGTGAGAGGAGAGTGGATAGTGAACACAGTTGGGACAATCTTTAAAACTCAGAGCTAAGATGGGGTGAAAAGGGATAAGGAAAAAAAACATCGAAAAGAAAAATTAACAGGTGCAAAAGGAGGGAGAGTTCAGGGAGCTACCGGAGGTTCAGGACGCTCTTGGGGCTCAAAGAAAAGAGGGTTCCCAAGAAGAGTAGGACCTCCTCAAGACTTTTCGGGCGTGGGTACTGACCTAAGCTGGTGTCCCGGGTGCGCCTGGCTGGCTGCAAGTGGCACGGCGGTGGGAGGCTGGAAGGAGAGCCTAGAGAGTGGCCGGGGCAGGTGGGGTCTGGCCGAGGGGACACGCGAGGAGAGGGATGAGCAGGGGGGGCGGCAGCACGCGAAGGGTCCGAGTCACTCACCCCGTTGGCTGCAGCCATCTGCACCACGATCTCCGTGGCCGTCCTGCTGAAGTACCTGCCGTCGCTGCCCACCACCATGGTGCAGCCCTGCCGATCGCGCAGGTCGATGGACGACAGCACGCTCTGGATGAAGTTGGGCAGGTAGTTGCGCTGACCCTCGAAGAGGCCGGTGGGCCGCCGCAGCCCCCCGCCGCCGGCCGGTCGCTGGTCCTCGTAGGGCGCGGTGGGCACCGTCAGCACCGGGATGGGGCTCCCCTCCATGGTGCTTCCCCGCCGGTCCTGCTGCGGCTCCCGGAGCCGCAGGGAGTCTGCAGCCTGCCCGGTCCCCCACCGGCCTGGCCGTGCGCCCGGGCTCCGCCTCGCGCCCGGCCCCCGGGGTCCCCAGGCGCCCCGCGCCCTCCCGCGGCGCCGTCCGCTCCTCCTCCGCGCGCGTCCCCTCGCTGCCCCAGCAGCTGGGCTTCCACCTTCAATAAAGTTTTCTCCCTCCCAACTCTGCAGCCCGATCGCCCCGGCTCTCCTCAGTTTCTTTCCCCAGCTGGTCTTACTTTTGGAGTGTCCACAAGCCTGGTTCTAGTGCCAGTTATCCGACCCCCGGCGACGCCTCTCCTGCGCCCAGTCCCCGCCTTCCCTCGGATCGCTTCTCTCCAGAGGCACACCCTCCGCAAGAAAATAGCCCCCGGGTGAGAGCTTGAGTTGGGTTGGGGAGGGGGGTCTCTTCCGCAACTCTTACCTCTTCCCACCCCCACCTGGCAGCCCTCTCTCCAGGTCTCCCTGAAAGTAGCAGAAAACGCGCACAAGCTCTCTGGAACAAGGGCAGGGAGGGAGTTGGGAGGGGGCTAAAACCTTTTGCCACCAGGGAACAGCCCTAGCCAAAAATAACCCTGGAAAGGCGAGCTGAGAATTGTTATCTTCTGCCAGAGGTGAAATCGGAGGCTGAGCGCTGCTCGCCGTCTGTGTGTGTACACCACACACCCACCACGACCATTTGTTGCAGGGAATCACACACTGTCAGGCCATGCATCCCCAGGACTTACCCCAACAGTCCACTTTCCCAGCCAACTCTCAAGGCAGCGAGCACTTTCCGATCGGAGGAGGTGGGTATTTTTGCTTGCTTGCTGATTTATTTTTTGTGGTGGTTGCAACCGTCACACATTTTCTTAAGCTAGCTCTACTCACCCTCCCTACCAACTCCTGCTTAGAACACGCTTGTCTATCTTTCCACACTGTTGAAGTGCTCTCTAAATTCAGTAGAAAAAGGCTAAAAGCCCTTTTAACATCCTGGGGAACAAATGAACAAAGCCAAGTTAAACAAAAACTAGGTGCCAGGTACTGTGCTGATGTTATGCTGGGTCCTTTTGCACACACCCTGGCGTTCTTCAGGAACTGGCGACTTTCTGCCTTCTCTCCACAAAACCCACCCAAAATCTAAAATCAAGAAAATTCTCATAGAAAATATGGGTGAAAAGAGAAGGGGTTGAAAAGATAAAACTCAAAGGGGGAAGAAATAATTCTTCTTTTTGCTTCTATCTTGTCACCCCGAGACATTATTGTACTCAGTAAGACTACTGTCTTGAAATCTGCTACTCTTCTTTTCAGAATATTACCTACTTCCCAGGAGTACCCTTGACTGGCTGTGGTCCTATACAGTGTTTGATTGTAGAAAGATGACTGGGAAAGGCTTTGCCTCTGTCCTTTCTTTGGAGACTGAAAACAATGAAAAAAAGTAGGAATGGCATTCATACCCCTCATTTACAAATGAAAAATGGGACCTTTTCATGAAGTCAGGGAAGTGGCTAACATGGCACTTGCAGTCAGTCCAAATTCTTGTATTGCCTCTCCTCTTTTTATTAATAGCATTGAAGTATGATGGAGAAACACCAAAGCCAGCGACTGAACCTGCCAGGACTTTTTAGCTGTTCTCTTAAACTAGAGAGGGTTCTAGAGAGGGGTAGGGGAGAGACATTGGTCAAAGGGTGCACAGTTTCAGTTAGATAGGAGAAATATGGTTTCCAAGCATACTTTGGGAGAGGTTGTTTTCCTCTACTCTCAATTCTGTCTCCTGGAGTCCAGGCCATAGAGTTTCTAACTTTGCAGTGGTGTGCATGAGTCTTTGCTTAGCACCAAATAGAACTGCAGCCCTTCAAAGGATCTGTGCACATCTTTGTGGTGTGGGTTTTTTTTTAAATCACTTTCTAATGACATTTCATTTGGCAAAGGACAGTGTCATTCACAAGAGAAGAATGGATGTGCCCCCATAAAGACAAGACATATTCCCCCAGCCTCAGAGTTTCCAAGAAGCCCTTCAGGACTGCATCTCTCCACTTCACTACTTGCCTTTCTCACCATCACCACCATTTTCCCCTGCCATAGTCCTAGGGGCAAGGCATCAACACCTCAAACTGTTTTACTGTTTTACCATCCAGGAGAAAATATTCCCTTGGGGTTAATTCCAAATTGCCCAAAAAGTCTGACCAATTCAATTTGAGACAATGTATCCAGCCAGCTAGCCAGACCTCAAGATGAAAAGAAAAACAGAGCTGGGCATGGTGTGCACGCCTATAATCTGAGGCTGAGGAAGGAGGATGGTGAGTTTCTGGCTAGCCTAGGCCGCACAGTGAGCCCCTATGGGAAGAAAGAGAGAGGGAAGGGGGAGAAAAGAAGAGAAGAGCGGAAAAAGGACAAGGAAAAAAGTAAAAACAGTTTTTTTTTAAATAAAGGGCTACTGTCCTTCAGAGGAAGAAGGAATGAGTGACCAAACAATAGTTGTCCACTATGTACTTGAAACTCACTAACTAAGTCTTTTGGAAAGCTATTTTTCTTTTCTCTGAATTTACATGCACTTTGCTTCACTCATAAGGAATGTTTCACAAGCTGATACACATTTCTATTCATACTCATATATATTTTATACATTTTTTCTTTCCCCTAGCTGTATATGACCTTGGAATAAGTCTATAAGCTTTCATAACCTCAGTGTCCACACTGTGAAATGGAAATTATTATAAGCCCTACCTCATAAATTGTTGGGAGGATTAAAATGCTTAATACAGTGCCCAACAAATAAAAAAATTCAATTAATATAAGCTAGTTATTATTATTTCCATAAATCCCATATTTGTCATTCTTATAAATATCTTCTCTACAGCAAAGTTACACTTCATATCTTTGTAGACTACCACAGCTCCTGAAGGGCCTTTGGCATAGGCAATATTCTACAAAAATCAACTGAATTCACCTGTGGTTTTTGACTCTGGAAATTCCAAATGTATGGAGTAAATTACACACAAAATATTCAAAAAGGTTTTGCCAGCTAAAGAAATCTCTTCAAAGCTGTCTCCAAATTTTATCAGGTTAATTCCAATGAATTTGTCACAATGATGGAGAAACTGAGAAGGCCCCGGATAAGAAATGCCTTGCCCATAGATGGTACACTGGTAAAATGAGGAGGTTGAATTACATCAGTATTCCCAAAGGGTTTTCCTCAGAACAGTAGTGTCTCCTAAATACTGCACAAAGCAAGAGTGTCAGAGCCAAGTAACTATTTAAATCCTGCACATTCTACCCCAGTCTTGGAGCCTCACAGTACACGTTTTTTATATTAAAAATTCTGAGAGGTTTTAGAAAGAAGACATCAGCTTCAATGTTTTAACCTAGTTACTTCCAAACCTAAGCTTAACATGCCTGGTTTGCTTAGGGAAAGAGAACCAGACTAGCTTTGTGCTCACAGCTAATGTCCTTTCCCCACCTATGTTGTCAGTGAACTCGGTAAGAATCATTGCATGTTCCTCACTCCTTTGTTCTTAAGCTCAGAGCATCTCTGCAGTTTGGGTCCCAATGAAGGGTAGCTCTACCTTCCTAGAGATGCCTATCAGCCTTCTATGAGCCTTTAGAGCAAGGCATCACTCTGAGAACTCTTGGCATGAAACAGGAGCAACTGACATAGCCTTCCTTTCCCTGGCAGCTGATGCCATCTTTACAAAGAGAATATTCTATCTGGCTCAGCTAGACCACCATTTCCTAAAGAGAATCTGGAGTAAAATACGTGTTGAAATACTTTATTACTATCCCCTTCGCACAGGTTCTCAAAGCACCTTAATGTAATGAAGACTTGGCAGCAGCCAGCTCTGCAGGAAAGAAACCTAGTTAACTTTAGCCCAAATACTTCCCAATTTTATTTGAACCAGGGGTTCTTTTCTAAAACACCTATAAACAGATCAAAGACATGAAAGTTCCAAAAAACACTTTAGATATCTGGGGTCCCTTCCAAGTACCTCATTTTGTGATTTCTTTTTTATTTGTGAGGCATGAAAAGAGTAATTTTAATCAGGACTCCACTTAGGAACATGTCAGAATGTACAAAAGGGAAGAGGTAAAATTGCCTTCTTTGAAAAAATACTCTTGGGGTGGGAGTGTAGACCAGTGGTACAATGTTTTCCTAGCACGTGTGACACCCTGCGGATGGGCCAGAGAACAGCAGCAACCACAAAAACTTCTTGAGACCAAACTGACAGATGACAGTTACATAAATTATATATATATATATATATATATATATATGCAATTCTGTATGACACATTCTGTTCTGAACTCCCCCCATCCCTGCTCTCCGTGCTGGCAGAAAAGCTCACATCTATTTTTCCTACAGTAGTTATATACTCCTGTTGAGTCACAGTCTACTTGTGTGTATACAGGGAATGCTAAAAACATGTAGTTGACTCATTGACGCTAAGAGCAGAGAAATGCCACAAGTGCAGGACAAGAGACAGAAAAGCAAGTGGGAAAATGTCTCAGGGCATTCCTCCAAGGAAGCTCTGGTTCATTTTTTAACCTGTTGAACACCTTCAGTGGTGGGGAAGTCAATTATATATTTCAACCAACTCTTAAGGTACCATCTTCCACTCAACAGATGAAATAGTATATGGTGATTCCAGTAAAACTGGCTGCTTCTCTGATTCCTTCATTAGAAAGAAGGCCCCTAAATGAAAGTTAAGAACTATAAATGTACATCTCATGTGTGCATTTTGCAAATGTCCATGCACTTGCCTAGGTGTCCTAACATCCCAGCTTCACCTCTGTCCCCGACCTTCCTTAGCCTCTACCTGTGAGGCATTGCACAAGTTGGTTAGCCTCTCGAATGTTCATTTCTTCATCTATAAAATGCACATACTGCTAGCTACCTCCTAAGGGTCGTGTCGTATTTAAGGAGTTGAATATGAGAATTGCTTGCACAGAAGTGCCTAGTTATTGATCCAATTATTATTACTGTTACTATTACTAAAATATGTATCATTAGATATTATTACCAAAATAATTACTAATATAAATACTGTTATTACTATGCTAATAATTCTTATTCTTTGTATCAAAGAACATTGACTTGGGGGGGTTATATCAGTTTAACCTTTTTGGCATAATATCTAGAATGGTATCACACATATTAGGGAATTAACGTTAAATATGAAAAAACTTATTTTTCACTGACCCTTTAAATGCTCTTTAAGTAACTTGTGCAAAAGGAGCCATCCGCCCAACATAGGAAAATAAATCCAGTTCCTCTGGCGTTTGTTTTTTGAGGTAGCCACAAGATACTAAAATATTGACGTGCTATTTGTAAGGTTCCCATAGCCAGCATGGGAAGTTAAGGGGTGGGGTCTCCCACTCCTGAATGCCTGGACCCCACTTTGAAAGGTATTTGGTGTTAATTAACTAACTTGCAAAAATGTTGCCTTTTGGAAAGCAAAATATTTCGTCTTAATTCAGTTTTTCCTAAAAATAATAGGTTTGTGTTCTGCTAAGGATAAAAGCTCAATTTTCCAATGTCC